CATTCCACTAGACTTCCTCTCCATGATTCACACAGGATTGCCCACTGCCAAGGATGACTAGAGCAGAGGTCATTTTCTGCCTTACTCTACACCATCCAGCTCAGTTGTCTAGTTCCTTCTCCCCGACTCACTTGTCTCTCTGGTTTCTTCCATGTGATCACAATCCCCTGGCTCCTGGCCTCCTTGCTGTGTGATCACTGACCCCTGGGTCCTGGCCTCCTTGCTGTGTCATCACAGTCCCCTGGATCCTGTGATCACAATCCCCTGGGTCCTGGCCTCCTTGCTGTGTCATCACTGTCCCCTGGATCCTGGCCTTCTTGCTGGCTGGTACTTTGATCTTGTTTTGCAGATTTTTCTTCCTCTGCTAACCTCTTTGTTTTACACATGAAAGTTCAATCATGTACTCTCTTTTCTTCAGCACTCTCCAAATCTCATGGCTCTTTTCATGTACATTCTGGTAGATAATGCCTCCCAAATTTATTACTTCCAGTTACTTCCAGCCAAAAACCCAACCGTTGAGCTCAGACCACAGGATACTGGTTAACCACTCAGATGTAAATGTCTCCGGAATACTTCAGGATTAATGTGCCTCAAACCAAATAGTTGGAAGCCTCTTCCATTTCCCAACTTACCTAACTTAACTCTTTTCAGCCTGTGCTAATGGCACCGCCGCCATCAGGTGTTTCCATATGCAGTCTCTCATGAGAGTCTCTTATGTACACTACCACCATGCTAATCCAGGCCCTGTCTTCTCTCACTTGAATGACTACAGATTCCTCTCTCCTCAGTTCTGCCCCTCTCCATTTCAGCCTCCCACTCCCAATATCCAGCCATCTTTTGAAATATAAATATGACCATGACATCCATTTAAAAAATATTTTTCATGTATTTCTGCAGCACACAATTTAGAATGAAATCTATGCTCCTTATCATAGGCTCATGAGGTCTTTACGGTCTGACCCTTCCTTGCACCAGTATCCCTCTTGCTCATTATTTTCTCTAGGCACAATAGCTTGTTTCCAGCCCTTCAAATATGCTGCCCTCATTCTTGAATTGGCCTTCATACACACTCCTGTTTGGAGCAATTTTCTGTCTGTTGCATGGCTGGCTCCTTTTCTGTTCAGTCACCCTTAGGGAGGCCTTCACTGACTTCCCCCCCCCCTTGACTTTCATCACTGCTCTCTGCTGTTTTATTTGAGAATTCTGTCCAAAATTTGTATTTATTTACTTACTGCAACCAACTAAAGGCAGATACACTATTTGTTTTACTCACCAGTCACTGTATAGCATGTAGCAGAGTGCCCTACGGTTTATGTTTAGTTTTTGGAGGAGGAATGAAATAAAATGTGAATGATTTAAATTCTGAGGTAAAACTGGTTTTGATGTATAATGTTTAAGTGCTTCTTTTCTATGTAAGTTCCTTTGTTGTATTCTGAACAGATGGAATATGTAGTTGGTTAGGTTAACTCACAGTAAAAACTTCCTGATTGGTACAGAGATGAATGATAAATGAGGTAAGCAACAAGTAGTTCTAAGAGTTCATAGTCAGGTGGGGCCAGTAGGTAGCAATTCCAGCACAAGGCAGTAGGTGCTACAATAAAAGTCTGTAATAGGTTGATTCAGAACAGTAAATACAGAAAGTACGCTTTTTAAGTGGTGGCTATGAAGGACTCTTACATGGATCACATTTGATAATACCTCAAGTAGGCAGTCAGGTGAAAGTGGTGGTGGAAAGGTCATGCCAAAGTTCAGTATTCATCAAAATCTCAAATTCCTGCTGTCAAGTCACTTCCAACTCATAGTGATTCTTCATTGGTTCTCCCAGGCTGTAAATGACATAGGAGGAGATTGCCCGTTGTTCTTCTGAGAAGAAGGATTCGAACCTCCAGAGACAACTTAGCAGTGCAGCACCCTATAAAAAACAGCATGGCTTCTTGTGGTACAGAGTGTTGTTGTTGTTATGTGCCTTCGAGTCACCTGTGAGTCATCGCGACCCTATATACAACAGCTCTAAACCCTGCTCTTCCCTATGCAAATCTTACTGTCTCTGATACACCTACCCCTATTACCCCAGTCATTTAATTGAGGGTCTTCCTCTCTTGCACTGTCCCTCTACCCTTCTAAGCATGACACCCCTCTCCAAGCACTGATCCCACCTTGCAACATGTCCAAAGTATGTCTGAGAAAGCTTCCGAATCCTTGCCTCCATGGAGCCAGATGGAGAGGAGCCACTAAGAGGTTTTAAGCCTACCTAGCAATGTGAGTTATCGGTCCAGTTGTGAGAATATTTTTTTCTCTTTTCATTCTCTTGTGCATCTAGAGCTAGACAGTGAATAAAGATGACCGAAGAATTGATGCCTTTGAGCTGTGGTGTTGGAGAAGAGCGCTGAATATTGCAAAGATTACCAAAAGTACAGTCAGAGTGCTCCTTGGAGGCAAAGATGACAAAGCTTCATTTCATCTAATTTGGGCATGTTGTTAGGACAGACTGTTCCTTGGGGAGGGACATCATGCTTGGGTAGGTGGATGGTGAGCAAAAGAGATGAAGATACAGTATTTATCCTTGTGGGACCGAGTTAGTTTATTCAGTGTAATGCTCTCCAGGCCCTCCCAAGTTAGGTAATAATTTACAAAATCATTGCTCTTGCGTGCTCCATAGTATTCCAGTTCTACAAGGATAAATACTGTTATAAAACCATTATTGTAGAATGAGCATAAGGATCCCAAGAGGGGTGGGAGAGGGTGGGAGCAGAGGAATGAGGATGTGCAGGGAGTGGGGATTAACCATGGGGTTGTACAATTTGATGGGGTGGGGTGAGGGAAATTGATAGAATTTGTTCTTGAAAACCATGTATTTTAATTTTGTAAATTAGTAGGGAAAAAAAGACAAAGACTCTCAATCGGATGGATTGACAGTGACTGCAGAAATGGGCTGCATGGTAGAAATTGTGAGGTTGGCACAGGGTGGGACAGGGTTAGATAATTGACTCCACCTAACAACAGCAATGTAATTAATGTTTCAGAAAAATCATTTTGGTGACAATGAGAGAACAATTTGAATGATGTGGATTTGGAGGTGGAGTTTAGACACTAAGGAGTTGGTTACCAGATGAGCAATGAGGGAATGAGAGACAACTGGGAAATGAAAAAGAAGGTGCCTGTTTAAGAGAGTTTTAAAGACACAGAGTACCTCTTTGGTGGGAACAGGGAGGATGATTTTTAGATAATTTCCCCCCCCTGGTTTGACAAATTGAGAAGTTGGAGATACTGTTAACACCTATAGAGGAAACTGCAAAGGAGTATGCCTTAAGAGGAAAGAGGATTTCTCAGAAATACTGGTTTCATAAGTTTTAATACAAAGACATTTGTTTCATTCACTTATTTAAACACATTTATCTCCCCTTCATGCCATAAAGCTTATTCTGGACTATCAGTCACATTACACATCATAACTAATCATCCATTCTTTTCAGACTGATATTCCTTTCACTTATTTAATGTTGTTATTGTTGTTGTTGTGTGCCTTTGGGTTGGAACCAACTCATAGCTGACCTCCCAGCAGATTTTCAGAGGATGTATGTTGTACAAGAGGAGGGTGCCCATCTTTCTCCTGCAAAGCAGCTGGTGGATTCAAACCACTTGCCTTTTGGGTTGGTGCAGCTCTTACCTCTAGGCCAAGAAATGTGTGGTAAAAATGAAAAACTCTGAGTTTGGAACTCAAGGGTAAATTTTTGGCAAAGATTTATGTCATTATGATGTGGTTGCTAATTAAAATCTTACTAACTAGGAGAGGGCATGCAGGCTAGAACTCAGGGGAAACAGATATTTAAGAGCATATATTCATCAAAGAAAAGCCTCTAAAAATATGACAAAGAAATAAATGCTAACAGGGCTGAATTTTCAAAGAGAAAGAAATAGAGGTTTCTTAGAGCTATAGAGTTCACCATGTTAATTAATAAAGAAAAGTATTTATACATTCATCTCAAGTCAGTTTCATAACTATAGCTTCATTTCCAATGGAAGCTAATTATTTGGAAAAAAAATAGTTTACGTTAGTCAAAAGAAGGGAATGGGATGAGAATGATTCGATCACTACAAATCAATTATTTCAGTACACTTGTATTGTGAGGCAGTATATTTTCATGCAAACTCATACGCTGTGATACTACTATGTAGTCATATCGTTCACTGAAGTTATAAAGCATCCTAATAGTTAACTGTTTTTCTAAAGGCAGTATGCTTTTAATGTAATATCAGTAGTACAGACATAGAGTGAAGAAGATGCATTCTATAGAGAGGGCATAGATGTCTTAGTACCATCTTAGTATCTACTTTCGGCTTTGCTTGGGCTATGGGAGATAAATACATGCTATCCACACTCTTAATAGCTCTGGCACTCTAATAAACAGACACTGATTATAAAACAACAACAAGCACTACCACAAAGCAATCACACAAGAATGAGCGACTGAAAAAGGAATTACAGAGAAGCATGTAACTAAATAAAAGCCCCTCATGCTCATTGGCTTCTCTGGTGGGAAAAGACATAATAAACTGGAAATAGAAGTAGAAGGTTGTTTGGTGAATGTGAGATCTGAACAGGAGAACCTGCTGAATGATCTTAATTGATGGTGGGGAGATGAAAACCTGTGTCCTATATTGAGAGTCTTAGTCTGGTTGCTGTAATAATAATAATTAGCTATCAGTGAAGGCTTACATTAAGTGGGCACTGTCAAGGACAGAGATGAGTTAGTCTCCGCATGAAAGAACCTAACTATCTAGTGGAAGAGAAGTGCATTACCCACGCCAGAAGATAAGGAAGTAACAACAGCTGGGTTTTTTATATAGCTCTTTTTTTCCTTTTAGGAGTACTCGATGAGGGTTTTTGTTTGTTTGTTTTTTAGTGTTTTGTGTTAGTATATATAAATGTAGTAACATTACAGTTCTGACAGTTTTTAAAATGCATTGGGATGCTTGATACTTTTTCTTTGAACCTGCAGGTTCTCCTGAAAAGAAAGTTGAACATTCATCCAGGAATCTGGAGAACAGCATTGCCAACTCAGTCAGGAATGGAAAATCAGGTCCAGTAGTGAAAGATAACCGGACTGAAAAGAAAACGCCTGCAAATTCCTCAGTACAAGGTCACGCACAGAAGAGGAATGAGGAATCTGAAAGTGATTTCGAATCGGATCCCCCTTCTCCCAAGAGTAGTGAAGAGGAAGAGCAAGAAGATGAAGAAATTCTTCAGGGAGAACAAGGAGATTTTAATGATGATGATATTGAGCCTGAAAATCTGGGTCATAGGCCCCTCCTCATGGATTCTGAAGATGAGGAAGATGAAGAAAAACATAGTTCTGATTCTGACTACGAGCAGGCCAAAACAAAATACAGTGATATGAGCCCCGTCTACAGAGACAGAACTGGTGGCGGACAGGTCCAGGATGCCAGTGTGACACTCCTCCCCTCAACCCAGTTCCTCTCTGATGCTGTGGTGGAGACTCCCAAGCAGGAGTTTGATGTGTTTGGTGCTGTCCCCTTCTTTGCCATGCGTACGCAAAAGCTCCAGCAAGGAGAGAATGCCAAGAACCTCCCTCCACAGACCCATCTTCCACCTGCGGGACTAGAGCAAGAAGAATTTGATGTTTTCACCAGGGCTCCCTTCAGCAAGAAGGCGAGTGCAGATGATTGCCGTGTGATGGCCCCTCAAGCACACTGTCTCCCTGGCTGCCCCCAAAGTGTAGATATATTTGGCTCTACTCCATTTCAGCCCTTTCTCACATCAGTAAGTAAAAGTGAAAGTAGTGAGGACATTTTTGGCCTCGTGCCCTTTGAGGAAATAACTGGAAGTCAGCAGCAAAAAGTCAAACAGCGCAACTTACAGAAACTGTCCTCACGCCAAAGGCGCACCAAGCAGGACGTGTCCAAAAGTAACGGGAAGCGCCATCATGGCACACCCACCAGCACAAAGAAGACTCTGAAGCCAGCCTTCCGCACCCCGGAGCGGGCACGCAGGCACAAGAAGGTAGGCCGCCGAGACTCTCAAAGCAGCAACGAGTTTTTGACAATCTCAGACTCCAAGGAGAACATTAGTGTTGCACTGACTGACGGGAAAGACAGAGGGTGTATCCTGCAACCTGAAGAGAGCCTGTTGGACCCCTTTGGTGCCAAGCCTTTCCATCCCCCAGACCTGACACGACACCCTTCACATCCCAGCGATATCCGTGCTGACCACAGTACCGTATTGCCTGGGAGGCCAAGGCAGAATTCACTACATGGGTCATTCCACAGTGCAGAAGCGTTGAAAAGAGATGATTTTGGTGCCGTTCCCTTTACAGAACTTGTGGTGCAAAGCATTCCACCACATCAGTCCCAGCAGTCCCAGTCAGTTGAGTTAGACCCATTTGGTGCGGCTCCATTTCCTTCTAAACAGTAGACACATCTGATGGATTTTCAGCATTAACTCCTGTTTCAAAAAAGTATGAGTAGTTCATTTTATGAAATCAGAAAGATTATTTGTATAGCTCTTTATAGCATTCATTCTTACAGATCAATCAGAATAGCTAAGTAATTTTTAAATAAACCAAATAGAAGAAGCAAGTATTTCCAAGGGTAGAAACTTGATGTCTGTTAAAAAGACTCTTCAGACAGGCAAAAAGGGCGCTGAATTGCAAGCTGTAATTAAGGGTTTCAGCTACTGACATGACATCACAGAAACATAGATGTGATACTTCAGTGAAAGTCTGTGTAGCCTTTACAGTTATGTAACCACTTCAGAAGGGACTGCAAAGTGGGACTGCTATTTTTGATAAAAGAATATCATTGTTTTAGTGTGCACATACCAGGCTTCTTTCAGAATCCAGCATTTAAAACTAGGATTGTTTTGTACGTACAAAGGCTGAGTTTGTGGATTTTCAGAAATCCCTTCTAATTTCCATGCATTAAAAAACAATCTTAGCTGCGGAGTTGAGAGATTTTAGTCCTTACATCTTTCTCTACCAAGCAGAGCCAGAAGTAATTGACTATTGTGCCTCAAACCTGTTTCCTTTCGTTTTTTCTTTTTCTTAAAACAAAAAACACACAAACAAGTGCCATTATTAGGGAATGTCTACATAGAAGCCTTGAACAAAATCTAAAGTTAAGGAGAGATTCTCATGTTTGGGGAGGGGAGGGAAAGAAGAAAAGTTTCAGTTTGTGAATGGCTTGCTTGCGCAGAACGTGTATTACCATGTCCCTAATGAAGCCGATGATTTTAAAAAGTTGGGAGTGAGGCCTAGAGTTCTAGACAACTTTTATTTCAGAAATTTTTTTTAAAAAAGGTAGCTGAAATCCTGAGTGTTTAAGTAGTTTACAATGTAAAAACATCATGTTGCATTTAATAATGTGCTTTATTAAATTACTACCTTCATCAGATAATCCCTAGTGGTGAACAGCTGTTATTTTAGTTAGGTTTAGAGGGCGGAGTACTTTCAATAAAATGCACTGAACAATGAAACCCATAAAGCCTTATAGACAGGACTTGTGCACCTGCTGCCAGTACCTCTGCACTAATGCACAAGAACTCAAAATGGACAAAGCAGTAAGTTTATGGTGAGGGACAAGCATCTTAACTGTGCTTATTGATAGTGTCTTAAGTGAAAAGAACACAGTTGCCAAATTGCCTTTCTTTATACCACAAATCCTAATTCGATACTTGAGATTTTCTAGAAATTACGTTTGTGAATGAACATCAATACTATATCTGCTTCCTGTGTCTCCAAATGCTTTCTTAAGTGGTGTCCTTGCTAATTTACATAAAGGGACAGAGTTTCACACTTTGCTATATTTTAAGTTCCTACTCTGTGAACCCAATTAGCATATCCCTGAATTCTAGATCCCCAAATGAGAAATGCTGTTTGCCTGTTTTTACATTTCTGAACCTGGAAAGAATGGAAGCATATATGACTAAACTATATATTCATCTGTTACCTAAATGAGGTAAGAATTTGTGGATCAAAAAGTACTATGTGAATCTCTGTGTACCAGAACAGTGATCCATTATTACTTGGAATTGTACTTTTAGAGCTGGACTATAGGAAACTGACTGCTCCACCACTAGATCTTTTTCAGTTACATATCCTTGTGCCAAAGGCAAATACTCTGTTTGCACCTTTCCCCAATTCTCAGGTTAATTACTACCACTAACATAAATGCTGAAGTAGATGGTCTTTAAAGCTTTACAAAGTTGATTTCAGATACTTTATTTCAAAAAGTGAAGAGATGCGGATTCAGTGAACTACAAATAGAAGATCTGTATCAAACAAGACTTTAAAAAAAATGCAGATCTCTTGTTGACATGTTGACACCATGTGCTTCTTCAGTTATTTTATAAAATTCCTTGGCCTTGGTCTCTGGAAAGGAGGAAGCAAGGATTAACTAGTGTGACCTCCTTGGATCTTCAACGTGAAATATCTAGACTCTGTCTCATTAAAACCTTGTTTTTACTCAGTTTGAATTGCTGCACTAAACCTCTAGGACAATTCTCTTACTTACTCTTTAATGCTATGTAAATGAACTCACTTTGAAATGACTAAACCAACCCCTATTTGCAAAATACTCATCACAATGACTTTTACTTGCTGCTTTTAAATCACTGAAAAGGCTTCCAGCCTTTCTAGCACTGAGTAAGAATCATAATGCACCTGTTCCAGTATCCCTACAAATTTGATTGAAAGGCACATTTTGGAAGGGCTCTGGTTTGTAACCTAGCCTTCCAGATTTTGACTTGAGGTGTTGTGTAAATTATGAGGCCGCAATCTGATTTAGCATAAAATATTGACATTCTTATGTCAGGGTAGTACAGTCTGGTAAATTTTATTTTTTTCTTTTAGACTGTAGTTCAGAGTAAAGATTTAGGACTCAGAATACATTTGGGGAGATTAATTTTAATTTTGAAGCAAAAGCATTTCACGTAAGTATAGCTTTTTAGGGTTGCTTTGCATTTTCAATCATCTCCCTCTGCCATGGTCAAAATGTAGGTTACGACACAAAGTAGTTGCTCAGGCCTGTGAAGGTCCTTACCATCTGTCACAAAGCACTACTATGCTAGCTCTGTTATGAGATGGACCAACACTGGATTAAGAAGGAAAGTTGAAAAATTATATTACTATTTGGAATCCCCTGTGCTGCTTGAGGATGTAAAGTCATCCTAACTCTAAACCTATTATACTTGAACATTACTAAGTGAGGCAAATATTATGAAGCCAGCGAAAGCTGTGGCCAAAGTTCATTCTTTCCTATCAGCTTTAATAATAATAATGATAGATTTTTCTAATCTTATAAGTGGACCATTTGTTCAATGACGTTATCACTTGAATAAAATTTTAGTATTAAAAAACCAGCTTTTATGGCATTGAAGAATGTATCTGCTGAGACACAAGTGTTGCTTGGCATATATATTAGGTGAGCAGAAAACATTGTAGGCTAGATTAAATGTCCCCTCCTCCTTGTGTGTCTCTGTGTTTTGGGGTATAGTTACGGCATTATCTGAAATTGTAGATAAATACACTTTGATCCTACCCTGTTTATTGTTTAACAGTGATAGGTGGCTGTTCTCATCTGGCTGGGGAAAAATGCGAAGGCAAAGCCCGTTCTTGTACTCTAGGTGTCCGCAGACAGAATCGTTTTCTTACCAGCTAGTGTTCCTGATTTATTTCAGATTTTGGTACTTCACATAAGCACTCTTAGAAGGTACAAGTATATGACGTTAATATCACTAGTTCTGGGGAGTTGGGTACAACTGTATATGAAAAATCTGCAGTGAACTTTTTGGGTTTTTTTTTCTTTTTAGCTACTCATCATTTTAATCAAATTACTGACAGGACAGATCTACTGTGAGAATGAGGTGACATACCTACTGTGAGAATAACAAAAAATGACATAGTTTATTTGAAAACTTCTATAATCAGTAGTATTTTATATATTAAGATAAATATATATCTGCCCATGCATGCACATACCACATATCTCTACTGTAGAGTTAATGTGAATTCTTTAAGTACAATTGCAGTCACAATCATATCTTAAAGAACACTCACTCCTAAAATGGGTTTACAAAAGCCACTAAAAAAATAAGGTTGGCAGATGGGGGGGGAAAGCAAAGGTCATCCGTTGGGGTTATTTTTACATTTGTAATGTTACTTTTGAAAAAGAGTTGTGTCTTGTTTTTGATTCTTTTTTAACTACCATGCTCTGTGATTGAAAAGTCATTTAATAGTAAACAGTGTAGAAGCTACTTTTTTATTGCTGGCAAACAGCTTTAAGTGCACTTTCTTTGATTACACTTCCATTTTTTGTTAAACTTGAATTTTCTGAAACCTTTTATGTACCACTAAGAGAATAAGGGTAACTTTTAAATAAACCTGATTTACATCTTATGTTTCTAATTGTTACAAAGTATACTTGCTAAACAAGACTTCAGTCTCTAAATACAGGTGGGAAACTTAGGAGATAGAATCAGTTGCTTTGTTTTTCTATTTAATTAAGCACTGCACTAACTGATTTTTTTCTACTTTATTGTCTTTACATTGCTTATTTTTATTGACTGAATTCTTTCACTAATTCATTTTGTTTGAAATTTATTTTCTTACTATATTTATCATACCTATTGTTAATAATCTGCTTTCTTTAAATACAATAAACCCCAAATGGATTGCATATTCTTTATAATAAGTGACTATAGAGTTTTTCATTATTTGTTTTATTAAAAGTTCTTTTATTCATACCACATATTGTTGTTGTTATGTACTGTAGAGTTGGAACCAGCTCACAGCCGACCCTCTTAACGGATTTTCAGAGACAATAAACTGCACAAAAAAAGAAAGCCCATCTTTCTCTCATGGAGCAGCTGGTGGATGTGAACTGTGTGCCTTTGGGTTGGAAACACAACTCCTTATCATTAAGCAGTAGAATTTCCTTATACCATCTGTTAAGTGCTTCTTATGTGTCAGCTGCTGAGATAGAAAAGTGAAGAATATTAGATCCATATTTTTAAGGAGTTCAGTGTTTAGAATTTTTAAAAACAAACCATTTTGGCTCAGGATATTTTGCAACAAAAACATGAAAATAGCATAATTTGTTTAGTTGCTACACCTATTCTAACTTAAAATGATGACAAAAGTAAAAACAAACCCGCTGCCCCGAGCAGATTCCGACTCATAGTGACACTGTAACTGGGTTTCTGAGGCTGTAAATCTTTACAGAAGGAAACTGCCCCCTTTTCTCCTGAGCACCGCCTGGCTCATCCATACTACTGGCCTTTCAGTTAGCACTGCAACAAGTAATGCGCTATGCCTTCAGAGCTCCTAACAGGATGACAGTAAGGTCATCGGGCTTAAAGAGCCTGACGGTAGCTTTTGAATGAGTTTGGCACTTTTGCCTTATGAAAGAAACCGGTGACCTAGTGAGTAAGGAGTTGTACCGTCAATGTCAAGGCAGCTAATTTGAATTCATCAGTTGTTTCGTAGGAGAAAGAGGGGCAGTCTCCTCCCATGGGATTTACAGCATCTGAGAACCTGCAAGAGAGTCACCTATGAGTTGGTTCCAACACAGCACCAGTAAGTTGTTGAATCTGGTGCGGCAGGTAAGCAGGCAGTTCAAACTCCTCATCTCTCTGCAGGTAAAAAGAAACACCATTTCCTTAACTATACAGCCTTGGAAATTTTGGGGGCTGCTATGTGTCCCATAGTACTATTATGAGGTGGGATCAATTCAGTGGTTCTGTTTTCTTGGTTGGTATTGTATGTCATTTATTTTGAAACACGTTTTAAATTTTGGTAACATAATTCTGTTGCAATATTTTAATTTTTGGTCATATGACAAAAGGCTGACATAGTAAAGAGAAAACCTATTGATTGATTGACACAATTGAGAGTTTGATTAGTTTTTTCGGAAGAAATCCATTTACCGTAAACATACTCCTTAAGTGTCAGCTATTTAATTAAAAAAAAAAATAAAGTCTTTTGTCTTTTTAAGGGGCAAATTAGTAGTACAATCAAACAGACCCAGAGCTCCAACATCATTATTAGAATTGTTAATTTCTAATTATAATTCTACAAGTTTATATAAAATTATTGCTCAGAATCTGGTATCTTCTTTAGAGATAAAGGAATATATGCTCCAATTTGAGCTACTTACTTTAGATAATCTTTTTAAAGAAGTCCAGCTTAAGCATCATATATAAGATGTTGTTGTGATGCGCCTTCAAGTTGGAACTGACTCATGTTGTTGTGTGCCTTCCAGTTAGAGCTGACCCTCCAGTGGGTTTTCAGAGGCAGAAAAATGCATGGGCAGAGAATGCTCATTATTTTCTTGTGGAGCAGCTGGTGGATTTGAACTGCCTGCCTTTGGGATTTCAGTGCAGCTTGTTATCACTAGTTCACCAGAGCTCCCTATAGAAGACGTAGTTCAGAATATTTTTACATTGAGGACATAAGCTTTAGAATTTTACTTTTTGTTGCACATTTTTAAAAGTAAATACTTGTTTTAATGTCATGGGTACTATTGAAAATACAGTTGTTTTACATAGAATTTTTTATTACATGTTTATAGAGTAGACATAAAACCCCAGTGGCTCTTCTTTTCAGCCCTCTAAAGATGTAAATTTTACTTTCACAAGAGGTCCCTACTTCTGTTTGTTTACCTCTCTCTTCAGAATTGTTTTAACTATGAATTATAATCTCAGTATCTTTCTTGAGAAGTGTGATATGTCAGAGACCTTTGGAATTGAAGAGCATCTGTTTCTTTCAATATCAACACAACTGATAGGATATGACCTCTCCCTCTGCCTAATTTGAGTTGATTTTTCATTTACACTGGTACCCTTTTGCAAAAGTGGAATTAGTAGCCATGATGAATTAGGGTAGATATAGATCTAACTCAGCTTCTAGCAGGAATCCAGAAGTACAGGCTTTGCCCCTTGATATTTAATGCAGGGCAAAGTGTATCTCAGTAGGTACCTGCCAAATGGAGAGATGTACCACTTTATGCCAGTCAGTCACAATCTTCAAATCAGTTACTTTGTCCAGGTGGGAGGCCATAAGATGTGACAGAGTCCCTGAATCTTCTTCATTCCTGATTCTAAAATATGATTTTAAAGCTGTTATGTATTATAAAGAATGACAAGTAGTACTTCATATATTTAGTAAACCCAGTTTATTTACATAATACATATTTTGCCATGCAGCTTAAGGAATTACACATTGTAATAACAGAAGACAAGTACTAGCTTGTTATTTCAAAATGGTTTATGTAGAAAGATAATTAGCTGCAACCCTATAAATCAATATAGACATTTTAAAACCACCATGAGTAGTTTTCAAGTGTACTTTCAAAGCCTGTCAGTAACAGCTTTTATAAATTCACACACTGGTAAAATTAAAAACCAGGTTTTTAAAATGTGGCTGAAGAGTTTATTTTTAATCTTGTAGCAAATCTATAAAAACAAGAATAACTTAAATATACATTATAGTGCTCAAATTTAGAAGCACATTTTAAATAGGTATTCTTTAATGTTAATAGTATCTTAAAAATTTTGCCAGTAGTGCTGTATACACAGTAGGTGGTCAATAAATGCTGACTAATGGAAATGTTTACAGTTGACAGCAATCCACATTCATTCATTCATTCCTTACTTGATAATAAATAACATAACAGTAAAGGTAAAAATGAGACAGCATAGCTTTCGTACAATATTTAACATTTGTGTAAAAAGATTGTAATGGTTACATGGTATAATTGTCCCTACAGTTAAGACTTATATGCCTTTGAAATTCAAAGAAATGTTCCTTTTTTTTTTTAAAGAAAGAAAAAGTACTTTTAAACTGTTACTTCAGATGGTAAGAATATACTATAAGAAAAAAGGAATATTTTTTAAAACTAAAATGAAACAACAGTCAGTCTAGTTTTATTTCAAGAAGATTTCATAATAAAAAAATGGTTCCAGGCCTAAATGTAGTGGACTTTATTTTAAAAGTAACTATAACATCTTGTGTAATTTGGCTAATGTGACAAAATATCTATATGAAAACAATAATGTAAGTCTACAAGGGGTTTTTTGGAGGAAACATAGCCTATTGTTATTGTTAAGTAAAGAAAAAAGAATCCATCATTTGGCATATGGATCAAATGCATGGGGCCTTCTGAAGCCAACTTGTCATTTTTCAAGATAGCATAATTATACAACAATAATGTACCCTTCCTAAGCCTACTGGGGAAATTTTTCTTCACTAGGTTATTAGCCCAGGGAGTATATATTACAAAAAATTCTACACTGAAACAAATAAGTATTTTACAGATGAATAAACTGAGGCACATTAAAGTACTTTTACATACAAGAGGCAGAGACATGAAAGGCATGTGGGGAGTAAGCTTCACCATTATTCAACACTTTTCCTGAAATTTGGTAATGCTCATGTTCTGAAAGTATGTCAGTAATTAAAACAGTTTATGTCAACTCATTAAGAAACTTAGTTAACATTTTATATTGCAATGAACAACATGTTTGCTTTGCATTTCTGCTTTAAACGGTTTCATATGAAAAGACCAAAGAGAAAGAAGGTTATATGAAAGTGCAATGATATATTTAAAAGAAAATACACACACACAATTAAAGACCAAATCTCGAATGTCAGGTTTCTCATGAAGAGCCACTGGTGGATTCACACCTTTGGGTTAGCAGTGCGGCCTCTCTAGGACTCCATCACCAGAGCTCCCTAAATGTTGGCTTGCACACATCACTGCTCTTAGCAGTGCAATGCTCATACACGCGTAAACAGAGGAAGACCAGAGCCCAAGTGAATAAGCATGTTATCAAATGGGCCATCTAAATGACTTTGTTCTAAGGCTTAAGGCTCATTTCAGGGTCAAGACTGGGCCATCTGGATTCTATGGCCTTGAGAGTAGCACCCATATTCCCACAAAATTTAAGATTGTAAATTCAGAGTGGTGAAAGCTTTATACTTCAAAACATTTTAGAACCAAAGAATCTTCTGCCGTTTACTTCCAAGAACTTAGTGTCTAGCTAAAAAAGTAATTTTTTTTATTAACTTTAATGAAAGTTTACAGAGAGATAGGATTTCCAGCCATTCATTGTTGCACTTTTCTCCCTGAAAAAATAATTTAAAAAGCCTAGAATGATTAACTTGGTGGTTAGACTAGAGAATTTATTACTGAATCATGTAGTTAGTTTTTAATGTGATACTTACAAAAGGAAAATATATGTTCTTCTCAATACCTCTCTCTTTAAAAGGAGTAAAGGTTTAAAGTTCAAATTTCCTAGGGTGGGGAAACCTTAGAGTGAAAAAATAAAATTGAAGTGCCAGTTTCTCACAAAGCATGAGACTAGTATATATGCAAATCCCAATCACAACTTATAGGAACCCTTGCTTTGATTAGGCACTTAACCCTTGATCATTTTGAAGACATTTTTCCTTATTAAAGTAGGCTCACAGCATGGCTCCATTTCCTAACAGATGAGCCTTTTCTAAGGAAATTAAGCTGGTGCTAAATTAAATTCTTACCTGTACACGGGTTTAACATTCATAGCTGTTATTCAAATGTTTATTATGATTTCTAACTCATTTTGATTTTCTTTATAAGCAGCAAATGAGTACTTTTAAGGGCCTGTGAAACCCCCACGTATACTTTTTCCATGTCTATAAAGTATTACTCGTGATACATGAAATGAGGAAAAGAAAAAAGAGTAACAGAACTCCTAGAAATAGTGGGTTATACAACTCCCCGTCAAAATATTGCTTCGCAGCTGAATGTAGCAGGTGACCATACCTGAATTCACAAATGTGAAACATAGTCAGGACAAGGCTTGTTATGTCTATACTGCATGACATACACGGTTGACTGATGCCACCAATATAACATCACTACTGCAAGGATGTGCCATATTTGGTGGCTTGATCCGAGGTAGTTGAGTTGTCCTGGGAAGGAAAGCAGAAAGAGAATGCTGATTGTAATATCTGATACTCAAAGAAAATTTGAACCTGCCACTTAACATTCCTGAATGCAAATGGCACTACTCTAAGTTCTTACTAGTATTCCCTTGTCTTTGAGTCAGTGGTGAAAAAAAAATCTAAGCCATGAAGGAATACACCGGACTTGTGCTGTATTCATTCTCTAGAACAGCTTCTTCCATCCTTTCTTCTACCCCTAAAATAAAAAGATTGGCACATCTCATCTTCAATTTACTACAGAAGTGAGTCTTAGCCCAGTAGGGAAGCAGGACAAGTTGGCAGTATGAATTTAAACTACATCCTACTTCTAGTCTTTTCTTCTACACAAATGAAAAATCCTGCTATTCTTGACTGAAGCCAAATGCTAGTTTATCGCATAGCATGAAGCTAGTGAATATTTTGTCCCTTTATAGAATTGTTCTTACTCTACCACTTACTTCATTTATAGTAATGTTGTTAGGAGCCATCGAGTTGAGTATGATTCATAGTGACCCTACGAACAACACATCTGAAACATGTCCCATTCTGTGCCATCCTTACACATTAGAGCCTGCTGTGCCAGTCACCATGTCTGTCATTTCACCTGGTTGAGGGGTATTCCTCTCCTTTGTTGACCTTCTGCCTTTCCAAACATCATGTCCTTCGCCAAGGAATAGCAACATGCCTGAAGTATGTGAGGGGAAGTAGCATCATCCTTGCTTCCAAAAAGCACTTTGGCTACACACACTCCTCTATTTGTTCTTGTGGTCGTCCGTGGGATGTTCAGTGCTGTTCTTCAGTATCACAGTTCAAAGGCATCAATTCTTTTTCTGTCATTCCTATGCACTGTCCAGCTCTCAGATGCATAGCAAGTGATTGGGAAAACCATGGCCTGAATCACATGCACCTTAGTCCTCAAACTGACATCATTACTTCTCAATAATGTAGAGAAGTACTTAACTGCAGACTTTCCCAGTGCAATATGTCTCCTGATTTCCTGACTGCTGGTACCATGTGTGTTAACTGTGGATCCAAGTAAGATGAAGTTGTTGACAGTTTCAATCTCTTCTCCACCCATCATGATTAAATTAGAGTATTAACTTCAAGGAAATCACCACCATCATAATCGATAACCCTTACTGAGTGCTTACTATTTGCAGGAACTATATGGTTTATGTGCATCTTTAATCTCATCCCCATAACGGCCTCTTAGTTCAGTGTTTCAAATGAAAAAACTGATACTAAAAATGTAATGTCTGTCTTATGAAGTAACCTAAGCCTGGCTTATTTTCATTATCTTTCTATTTCCCTTTTACATATAGATATAGATACAGATTTATATAGATAATTCTTTTTAAAGATGAGTTGGTATATAATGTAATAAATGAGAGCTGATGACAACTGTTCTACTTCAAAATCCAAAAACACCAAAAAACACAAAAAGAGCCTGGGCGTCAGAAAACTACCAGACTTTATTTAACTTCAGTGTGCTGGATTTTCTCATGATGTTATGTGCTGTAAAGTCGCTTGCAACTCATAGCAACCCTATGTACAACAGCCCTGAAACCTGCTCTATCCTGTGCCAACTCGACTCTCTGATATATCTGCCCTCAGTACCCCAGTCACTGAATCAATCCATTTCATTGATGGTCCCCCCTTCTTTCTCTGTCCCTCCACCCTTCCAAGCATGATGTCAGCCTCCAAGAACCAGTGCCTCTTTGCCACATGTCCAAAGTATGTCAGATAAAGCCTCAATTCTTGCCTCCAAGGAGCAGACTGATTTCACCTTCTCTAGGTTGAACCTGTTCTCCTGGCAACACTCTTCTCCAGCACCACAGCTCAAAGGCATCAATTCTTCTATCATCCCTAGTCTTTGTCCAACTCTCTAATACTTAGTAAGCAATTGTGAAGACTATGGCCTGGATCAGACGAATCTTAGTCTCCAGACTGATGTCACTGCTCTTCATTACTCTGGAGGGGTGCCTGACAGCCGACTTTCCCAGTGCACTGTGTCTCTTGATTTGCTGGCTGCTGGTACCAAGAAAGATGATTGTGGAGCCAAGCAAACTAAAGCTGTTAAGAATCTCAATCTCTTCACCATCTATCATAATGCTACCAATCAGCCCAGTGGTGAGAATGTTTTCTTTATGTTGAGCTTCAATCCATAGGAGGCTGCAGTCCTTGACCTTCCACAACAAGCGCTTCAGGACCTCCTCAGTTTCAGAAAGCAGGGTTGTGTCATCTCTGCATAATGCAGGTTGTTGATGAATCTTCCTCAAATCCTGATGGTTTTTTTTTTCATATTGTATGAAACTGATAATCTTATGGGCCTCCTGGTTTCAGCTCATATTGCCAGGCTGAAGGAAAACATCAGCTGCCTATGGCTGATGCTTTAGGTAAAGTTTGGAAATAGAAGAATCATTGTTACCAAAAATGATCAAGTGAATTGCAGTTTTGATGATCTGAATTATATATCTCCACATTTATTTAGAATGATGCTAACCTAAAAGAGATACCTACCTGGAAAGTACCTTTCTGGAACTTTGGAAATGTAGAATAGAAAAGCAAGAAGAGCAATCACATACATCACAATTACACGAGGGGCAAAGTCCTGAAAAGAAAAACACACTTGTTTGGCTTTTTTACAGATCTTTCTGCTACTGCCACTGAATCCTCAATAACAAGTGGTAAAACTTTAAACTGTTAAAACGAAATTGCTTCTGTAGATAGGTTCCAGTAACAGAAACCTTGCTCTCAATCCTGAAGCAGTCCACAAAAAGGGAGTGCAGAGTGTGCCCTAATGGAGTAGTAAGTGCTTTAACGTGGGTGAGGATCCCACACCTGCAATACACAAGGGAAGGCACGTGGGAAAGGTGTGCCCCACTAAATAAGCACAACCAGAAAAAGACCCAGGAGGTTATGTCCAGATATCTGTTCCAATAAATACTATTACACAAAATAGTCTTCCACATCATTGAAGCTCTAGTGGGAAGCCCTTTTAGATGCTTAAGGAAATTATAGCCAGTTGTGATTGATGCATACTGCTCCTAGTTCTGGTTTGAAACCCATTTGTCCAGGTTACCTTTTAAGGGGTGGGGGGTGGGGAATGGTACAACAATGAAAAAAAAATTTTTTTCAAAGAGAAGTGAAATGGGTTGGACAGGAAGAAAATGTGCAACAATGAATGAATGGAAATCCAAGTTCTCTATAAACATTCATTAAAAATCTCAATTTAAAAAAAAAAAGTCAGGACAAAGTAGGGAAATACTCGAGAATTACCACACTGATGCTGTTAGGTGCCATGAGTCACCTCTGACTAGTCACAGCCTTGTATAACAAGAAGTCTAAGCAACTTTGCCAGATTTTCTGGTATATCATGCTAAAAAGTCTCAAGTTTATGCTAAACAACAGTTAAAGCACCTTTATATATATCTAATAACCTGAGACCTTTTTTTTAAAGCAAATGGGTTTTCATTTAATCATATATATTTTATAACATTACTTAACATTATACAATACCATTATTTACAACATCTTATCAAACAAAGCCTTGCTGTATCTTTCCTTTTCCCACACACTACCCATCCATTCACTAAGCTCTCCTCCCCCTCTTCCTGTCAACCTTCCACGATTGGTTCTATGTGTAAACCTTTTCTTAAGTCTCTCCTTCCCCCCCCTTCTAATTCTCTTGAGAACACCGAGGCATTCTCACTGAGATTCTTTTTTCATGCACACCAACTGTTCCTTATAATTTCTTAGGTTTTCCCTCTTTTCAATATATTTCCAAATATGCCTCTATGGCTCCAGCTACCAATACAGTGAGTATTTCTCAGCCTTTAACATTAGTTTTAAACTCTAACCTAAATTCCAATACTCTATCCCTAGCTTTACACCTCCAACTCAGCACATCATTAAAAAAAAAAAATTCTTTCCAGTTATACTCACCCACCCGAAAAAAGCCAGCTGTCTCCCTTTCTATACTTGCACTATCAATATCATCACTGACCTACTAGCTGACAGAACTAGGAACTTTACCTTCAAGTAAGGAAATTAGCTATGCTAAGGCTAACAAAACGAGAACTAAGAATAAACTATGTGAAAGGAAGACATCTAGAGGAGGGGGAAAAGTAGTTAGACTTTACCTCTATTTCTTCAAGGTATAGCTGCAAGAATTATTAATATGTAATTATAAACATGCTTACAGGTGACAATAGCCCACCCACTTGACCTAGTCATTATTACATTTTTTCCAAAAGTTAACAAAACTTTTCGGACAAAGAAAGGGGCCAAATATTGATTACATTCAATTTACCTGTACAATAGGAGCACTGATTCCTCCATTGAGCCAAACCCAATGAAGAGTAGGGATCACTCCATATCCCGAAACAGAACAAAATATGATAGAGCGAAGTCTTTGCCATTGTTGTGTAAGGTAATTGGGATGAATCTGAGCAAAAAACACTGCCAGGATCATAGCAAGCACTGTGATCAAGTATACTTGACGCCAATACTAGAATGAAAAGAAACAAAGTTCGTTACTTAATAAATGGAAAAAATAATTTTGGTATTTTTTTTTTTATTGTTGTTGTTAGGTATAGAGTTGAGCATGAGTCATATGAACAACAGATTTGGACCCTGTTCTATCCTGTGCCATCCTCGTATTTCCTGACAAAAAGAGCCCATTACAGCAGTCACTATGTCAGTCCACCTGGTTGAGGGTCTTCCTCTCCTTCACTGACCCTCCACCCTTCCTACCATCATGTCCCTCTACATGAAATAGCCCTTTCTAGCAACATGCCCAAAGTATGTGAGGTGAAACGCCTCATCATTCTTGCCTCCAAAGAGCACTCTACTCTTGTGAGCTGCACCTACTCCAAGACATATCTGTTAGTACTTCTGGCCATCCACAGGATGTTCAGTGCTCTTCTCCAACACCACAGCTCAAAAGCATCAATTCATTTTCTGTCATCCTTATGCACTGTCCAGCTCGCAGATGCATAGCAAGTGATCAGAAAGATGATAGCCCGAATCAGATGCACGAAAGTCCTCAAACTGACATCACTATTAATCAATAAATTAGGAGAGGTCCCTAACTGCAGATTTTTGCAATGCAATATGTCTCATTTTCTGACTGCTGGTACCAAGGGTGTTAACTGTGGAGTCAAACATGATGAAGATGTTGACAGTTTCAATATCCTCTCCATCCATCATGATGTTGCCTTTCAGTCCTATGGTATGAATCTTTGTTTTCTTAACATTGAGATGCAATCCATACTTGGATTCTGGAGGGTAGGTTATTTTCCTTTCATTGAAAGTAGGGTGTAAATTGTTTGGGTATTTTAAATTTTAACAAGTGTAAGCTGTTGGCCATTTTGATTTTGTTAACAATCAGTTGTGGGCTGGAAGTCTCTTGTTTAAATTAATTAGGACCTGGTTGGCATTTAAAAGTCTTGGGCCTGGTATTAATTGTGTTTGGGGAGAACATTATTCTAAGTGGTATTACACTTGTCTGTCAGTTTGCTACACTGAGATAACCTGGAGTTGCTTTGATACAAAAAGCTGTGCCATTGGTATGTCAAATACCATAAGGGTTATCCATGGTGGACAGGCTTTGATGGAGCTCACTGGTTAAGACATCCTAGGAAAAAGGATGGGCCATCTACTTCTTAAATAGCAGGCCTTTGAAAACATTATGAACACTAAAGGAATGAAGACAGAGTAGTGTAGCTATAGAGCCCAGATAAGAAGTCAGCTGAAATGAGGAAAAACAATAACAAACATTGTTTAATAATTGGAACATGGAATATACATAGTCTGAATGTTGGAAAAATCATGGTATACTATGCTGGAAATGAAAAACAGAAGAAGAGGGTTGCATTCATAGTAAAAAAGTCAATTTCAAATTCAGTCTTGAAATACAATGTTGGGGCTATTACTTGCAATAACCATACCCATACTAAGTTTTCATTATATCCTAAACTCGATTTGGTATTTTCATTTCTAAACATGATTACCTTCCTTGAAGAATGTCTGTGGAACCAAATATTGGGTTTATTTGGATGACAAACCAAATTCCAGAGTGAGCCAATAAAAGACCAAGTTTAATAATGCAAAAACATTTTTTAAGTAGCTATTACATGCCAGGCACAGTTTAAGTCCAGTAGAAGCAAAGATGACTATGACATGGAAACTGCCCAACCCCCGTTGATGAGTTCATACTGTGGAATTCAATGGTAAATATTATCACTGAGATACAAACAGAAGGTTGTGTGAACAGAAAGGGGAATAAGTAACTTTGAGGTAGATAAAAATGCTTCACAAAGGAGATACTATCTAAACTCCACAGTGAGATGTAAGCTTTTGTGAGAAGAGAAAGAATTCAAGACAAAGGAACAGTTTAGGAAGTTTTGAGAAAGCAGTCTCAAAAGTAGATGATGTAGCAGGGCATGAATTTAGAACCCGATGCTGCTGGCACTGGGGAAATAGCAAGTTCTTTAAGAATAGGACTCATCCTATTATGTGAGACATGAAGTCAGCTCCAGCTATAGTGAACCTATGGAATAGAGCTTGAACAGTCCTACAGGATTTACTATTATAGGATTTAGGGACCGCTCCAAATTATTGAGGAGTACTGGTGTCAGTTTGGGGACTAAAGTGCGTCTGATTCAAGCCATGGTCTTTCTATCTTTGAGCTATAGTGTTGGAAAAGTGTACTGAACAACCCATGGAATGCCAAAAGAATAAACAAATGTGTCTTGGAGAAAGTATAGCCGGAGTGCTCTTTGGAGGCAAAGATGATGAGGCTTCACCTCCCATACTTTGGTCATGTTGCTAAGAGGGGCTATTTCTTGGAGAAGGACATGATGTTTAGAAAGGCAGAGAGGGTCAGCAAAGGATAGGAAGATCCTCAACCAGGTAGACTGGCATACTGATGACCAACCACAATGGGATCTAGTGTGTCAGAAGAGTGAGGACAGGGTTCAGACCTGTTGTTCATAGGGTCATCATGGATCTTACTTGACTCGACAGCACCTAACAACAGTAAGACTTGCCTTAATTTTAATGGAAGCAAATTTCCAGGTCTTTTTCCCACAGTCTCTGGTGGTTTGGTTCAAACCAACATACTTTTGGTTAGCCATTGAGCATGTTACTGCTGTACTACTAGGGCTATTGACCTGGTAAATTTCAAGTTGACTAATTAAGTAACTCTGACATCAATGTAAGATAAAAAAGAGGCACCAGGAAGCCATCTAGAAGGTCATTAAACTCAAACTCATAATAAAAATTGTTCTGACTCTCCACAACCCTTCACTGGCTTTTCTAGGCTGTGAATCAGTGGGAGGAGACTGTCGTTTTCTGAGGTGTCACTAGGCAACAGAATTCCCTTAGAAGTTATTAGAATAGTTTATCCAAAGAGATGAACGTGTTGAGTAAGGAAGATAGTTAAGACCACAACACTAAGGAAGTATTTTTAGAAACAAATGGAAGTGTTTATGGATGATTAGGGCTGATCATCTACAGCTCAGATTTTTTAAGGGACACAGTGAAAGGCCAGGTAAATATGTTCTGATAATGAAGGAATGAACAAAGATGATCAAGGTTTGGTATATAAATGTGCGTTTTGGGAAGAAGTGGAGGTCATAGGGGATAAAAGAATGTTAGTTTTAAAATATACTAAAAGTTATGGGCTTACAGCATATTTATGTTTCTAAATAAGCAGTTGAAAAGTTGGTATTGAAGGTTTGAATACTGTAAATACCACACAGGACAAGATTTTTTTATCCTGGGTTCCAAGAATTTCTAGGGTATATGAACTCCCTGAAACCATATGTTAAATTGTTTACATTCAAAATTTTTTTCCAAACTGTATGGAGACAAAAGCCTTGCCTTTAGAATTACCAAAGTAGAAGAATCCATTGGTACTGTCATTCCTTCCATCAGACAGGGGACTGTGGCTTGGCTTACCTGCTGCATGGGGCAGGGGGCTCAGGGGACCTGGGCAAGACAGGCTCAGTCCTTGAGAGTAGTGCTAGGAATAATGAGTATGTATGGGGAACACTGGAGGCCTGGTGGTAGAAGCTGCACTGCAATCTGAAGGCATGAAGTTGAATCCACCAGCTGCTCTGTGGGAAAAGGATGGACAATCTTCTCCCTTGTGATTTTCTGTCTCTGAAAACCTGTTGGAGGGTCAGCTATGGGTTGGTTCCAGCTTAGCAGCACACAGAACAACACTGTTCCTGAAGGAAAAATGTCACTTTCAGGTAATATGATACTAAAGGACTCTTGGCTTCAAAAGATAAGGAGCTAAAAGAACAAAGAGAGTACAGTAACAGAGGGTTACTTTCTGAATCAGAGTTTGAGATGGACATGGACCAATGGGTTAACTGCTCTCTTGCTTTGTGTCATTGATTGAATTGTCACCTCAAAATAGAAATCCACGTGGCTAGGAAAAAATTCACAGCAGAAGTGGCATCCACTTCCTGATGACTTTGATAAATGTCGATAGTTGTAGAGGGGCTTCAGGCCTCTTGTTCATTGGGTCGCTATGAGTTGCTGCACAACAACATTAATGTAATTATTCTATCCACTGGAAATTCTAATCTCTATGATGTTAATAAAGCAAGATTAGAGATAGTTATGTAAAGATATAATCATCTCCCATAATGGGGCAAGCCAAGCAGTTGTAAGGGAATTGGAATGGGACGCAGGAGGTCACAGTCCTTACCTGATGTTAGAGGAGTTTTCCCTGGCGTGTTGCCTATATCACCCTTTGTCCTTGTTTAATAATAGGAGAGATAAGGGTCCAGAGAAGGGAGACCTCAGGGTCACCCAGAAAGAAAAGCCAGGAGTGAAGTGCTTCCTGTAGACCTAGGTTCCCGTACAGAGACATTTCTAGAACTAGGAGACACAGAGAAAGCCTTTCCCTAGAGGTGGCATACTGAATTTGGACTTCTAGCCTTCTATATTGCGAGAGAATAAATTTTCTGCTTGTTACAGCTATCCACAAGTTAAAACAGAACTAACTAAGATGATGAGGTGATGGAATGGGACTTAAACGCCCTAAAATCTGGCCAACTAATATTTTAAGTCAGGTGCTATTATTACATGGGTTTTCAAGTACTGCTTTTAACTAGGCCCAAACTGATTTTTGTCTTGTGAACTTATGGCTCAACGTGTTAAACCATGGATGATCGAGAACTTAGACACATTCTCACTAATGATACATATCCCTCAATCTGGGCTTACCTGAGAACATACAACTGAGAAAAAGAAAACATGTTTCTTTCAGAAAGAAATGGGACAGTACATTCCTCACAGCTATACCTTGTTATTTTTCAATGAAGGAAGCTTAAAAGGAGGAAAATTAAAAAGTAGCAGCCAGCTTCATAATCTTGTCAGGTATTAAAACTTTAGTGGCCTTGTGAGTAAAGAGTTGTGCTTCCAATGCAAAGGTAGGTGATTCAAATCCATTAGCTACTCCTTGGTTCAAAATTGGGAAGGGTGTGCGCCAGGGATGCATCCTGTCTCCATACCTTTTCAACATGTATGCAGAGCAGATTATCCGAGAAGCTGGGCTCTATGAGGAGAA